GACACCAGGGGAGTGACACTGTGTGTGACACCAGGGGGTGACACTGGGGACAACACAGGAGGGTGCCTGACACAGGCAGTGACACCAGGGGGTGACACAGAGGGGTGACAGCGGGACTGACACCAGGGGTGACACCCTGCACTGCCTGGAGGGGACCCCTCAGCATCACCTGGAGAGGAACGGGCAGGAAAAAGGGGCCCCTGAGAATCAGCCGGGGCACTTCGGAGGGGACGGAAAGGGGAACAGAAGGGCAGAGCCAAACCCCGCCGGGTTTGGGAAATGGGGGTTCAGGGCAGCCTGGAGCTCCCGGACCCACAGAAACCCCACTCAGCCCCCCCAAATCCCAGCTGAGCTGACGGAGCAAAGCTTCCCGTGGAAACAGGAGCATGAGAGTGGCTGTCCCCAGGCCAGGGGACACCCCAGGCCCCCCAACACCCACGCAGACCCCGCTGAGCCCACAGAACACCCCCTGGCCATCACCCCCGCCGGTCCCAGCCCCCCCACCCCACACTGGGGCAAATCCCGGCCCTTTTTTGGCCATCTCGAGATGTTGCTTTTTTCACCCCGATGCGCCGTTCCCATGGCAACTGGAGGGCCCGGCTGGGTAACCACGGCAACGAGAAAAGCCCCATCCCGCTCAGCCAGCCACCCTGTGTGTCCCCACCGTCACCCAAAGACCCCCGAACCCCTTCAGGGTGGGGAGGGCCGCACCCCACATCCCTCCAGGGAATGAGGAGGGACCAGGGGCAGCACCTCCATCTTCCTCCTCCTCCTCCTCCTCCTCCCCCCGCAGCCCCAGGCCTGGGGTGGGGTTCCACAAATCACCCCCCTCATCCCGGTTTTGGAGGCATCTCCCTTTCAGCTTGGCGCCTTAATTAGGAGAAGTAATTAACGTGGCACAGAGCGCGGCTGCCCAGCCGCATCCCCGGCAGAGCCTCCATGGGGAGGAGGGTTTCGATCGCCGCGACCTCGTGGCAGGGCCTTTGTGCCCGGCGGTGCCAGGCACGC